GTACTTTCTGTCGACATTCGGTAACATAGATTAACTGGCACTCGAAGATAGCCATCATGCATCAAAACGATGACCAACTCCGAACAAATTGATTGAAGCAAATCAAGGTTATAAAATACTTTCGAACATAAAATGTTATCAATTAAAAAAATGCATTTCGTCTAGATTAAAATGGACGACATTGGGTTACATCAACAGACAACGAATACTTTATGAATGGTGTTAAAAATTTAAACTATTTTTTACACAAAATTTGCAACTTTTATTACTTTTAGTTTATATTTTGTATAGCGTATGACCTTCCACATTGTTTGTTTTTTTTTTCACTGTAAGAATTTCAAATAAGAGTAATTTTTATTTTATTTACTTTTTGTTGTTTGAGAATAATCTTCCAAATCTAGTATATGGGGGATACATTTAATATGGATAAATGATAATAAGATTGTTGGGCTCACGAAAAATTCTAGAAATTGAGATTTTCAATTTAAAAATAACTGGAATTGTATTGTGTACCCGAAATAATATCGTTTATTTGGACAGCACGTACTCATTTTTAATGCAATACACACTTTTTTTCTACATAATTTGTTATAACAAAATTTGAATCGCGATTAAGAATCTTAAAAAAACATCCTTCAATAAGCGAAATAACAATGAAAAAAATCTCTTCTTCGTTGTTTAATGAGAAAAATCATGTACATTTATTTGAAATGGCGTATTAAATGAAGCAACAGTGATTTTCAAATCCAATATTTAGCGATTAACTCGATTTTAATATTTTAACAGTGTTAGGTTGTTTTCACCATCTAACGGCACGCTACAGTAGTAAATAAACTAGTTTTTATTTAGATAATTAGATAGAATATATTATTGTTGTTGTTGTTGTTTTTATTGAGATGCATGTCACAATAAATTACTTGAAAACTCAAGAGAGAAACCGCATACTTTTGCTTAATTTCTGTTTTATTCATTCAATGAAATAACTAATGATATGAGTGAGTTGATATCATAGGGTGGGTGTCGCATACTGCGCTGAACTGTTGTTCATCGGTCGGCGGCCAATTGAAATGAATTTTATACGGCGCGTCTCGAATGAAAAAACACGTGTATGTTCGCATTATAAAAAGTCTTGTAATATCCTTTGAAAATGTATTGCAATAGCCAGTTTATCAATGGCGTTTGCCTGTTATGGCCGTACATTGACGGAATATTCCATTGAAATTCTCGGAAACATAACAAAATACAAAATGCTTCTTAGTCGTGGAAGAACCCATTTCCTTTCTCTTCGGTTCAATACTTATTCGCCTTTGTCTCTCCCCGGAGAATAATCCAAACAATTTCGTCATCATAGATAAAAGCTCATCACTTTGATTTTGAACTGTGTTCGTTCGTTTGAATGCAATAATTTCAGATAATGTGCGTCAGTTTTAAAGAAAATTATGCGCTAAGTTGTTTGTTGTTGTTGTTAATTTGCAAATGATTTTTGTTCTATTTCAAGAAAATGACTGTGTTATATTTGTGTCTCTAACTGGGATAAGTGGTTTATTTGCCGTCATCTTTTTTATCATATGTACTACGAAATTTTATATGCACAGTGCACACGTACAATAACAAAATATAATCCCACAAAATGCTTTCAAATGGCAAACGGTTGCCGTTGTTTGATCTGTAAAAATTCTTTGAATGGAAAATATTGCGAATAAAGAAGAACACTCCACTCACTGTGTGACATGATGCCAATTTCAAATATGGCCCACCAAATTTCATCAATCACAAGTGGTATACAAATTATTTTGAAGCGAGTGCCTATTCAATCACGCACATCATATTCAGACATTTTATTTATTTTTCCGAACTTTGACAAATTCAAATGAAAACAAAAATTCTAAAAATATATTTATATTCGATCAATAAAAATGGTACTTTGTAATGAATCAAGTGTACGAAGATATATTTTTACTTTTCGATTAAATTTACCAAAAAAAAAATTTCAAGCGAAAAAAAAATTGCGCAGAAACCATGATTTTTGAATTTCTACTACAAAAGAATATGATATTGTTGATAAAAAAAACATTTGAATTCCAAACTATTGATCCAATTAATTTCAATAAATGTGTGCATGTTTTAAAAAAAAAAATCAATTTCATTGCAGTAGTAACGGTCGTGAGGCACGCAACAAAGCTGAGAAAAATCGACGTGATAAATTAAATAAATCAATTCAAGAGTTGGCCGGACATGTACGAAATGTGGCTGGCTCATCAAAGCGTATCGATAAAACAGGAATACTACGATTCTCGGCACATGGTCTTCGCATTGATTATGGTACGTTTTAATTTTCCACATTTATATTTTATAATTATTACTCACCATCGTTGTTTGTTTGCTACCATTGCAGTTTTCAATAGCGGTGAAAGAAGCCCATGTCAATTTAGTATTAATCATTCAAGTGCTGAATCCTTAATGAAGCTTGTTAATGGATTTTTGATAGCGATAACGTGTCGTGGAAACATTGTGATTGTTACA